ATCCACTGAGAGATGTCAGCTAGACAAGCAGAGATGCGTGTGACGACCTGGGTCTCTGAGCGGGGAAAGGACAGAATTAATTGGGTTTCGTCAGTGTAGCAGTGGTATGAAAAACCATGCGGGCTAATGACTGATCCGAGCGAGTTTATGTACAAGGAGAAGAGGACGGGACCAAGAACAGAGCCCTGAGGGACCCCTGTAGTTAATTGACAAGGGTCGGACTCGACCCTCTCCAAGTTACCCTTAGGTCGGTCTTTGAGGTATGAGGTGAGGAGGGAAAGTGCAGGCCTGAAACTCCAAGTTCTTGGAGAGTGCGAAGGAGGAACTGATGGTTCACCGTGTCGAATGCAGCAGACAGGTCCAGAAGGATGATGACAGAGGAGAGGGAGGCTGCTTTAGCCGTGTGCAGTTCCTCAGTGACAGCAAGGAGGGCAGTTTCTGTGGAGTGACCTGCCTTGAAACCAGACTGGTGCGGATCCAGAAGGTTGTTCTGATGGAGATAACAGGAGAGTTGTTTAAAGACAGCGCGTTCAAGTGTTTTAGAAAGGAATGGGAGGAGAGAGACAGGCCTGTAGTTTATAACATCAGACGGGTTGAGAGTGGGTTTCTTTAGGAGAGGGTTTACTCTTGCCTCCTTGAGACTGTTTGGAAAGTGACCAGAAGTTCGAGAAGGGTTGATGAAATGGGTGAGAAACGTTAAAATAAACCTACCATTACAATTATAGACTGTTCATTTCTTTGTAAGTGGGCAAACTTACAAAATCTGCAAGGGATCAAATACGTATTTCCTCCACTGTATATTGCACTGTTGTTGTAACCGATGCAAAACATAGTATGATTTTAAATATGTTTTTATATCATCTCCTCTGTAGCTTCCTGTTTTTTTTTATCGCTGATTTCAGTTTTATTTTTTTATATATAGAACATTTTATGTATTGATGGTTACCAGGTGGCAGTTTCAGTAAAGGTGTTAAACAGGAAGCTACCGAGATATGTGTGAACGCTGTTGTCTTGGTTTGAAAACATAAATTTAAACAGTCATGTGCATTGAGACTTTGGCATCTCTGACTGTTTCTACCATTCCTTTTGTTTTTTCTGACATTATTGCCTTTGTGATTCCTCAGATCAGGGAAACTGTTCTAACGTTCATCAGCGAAAAGGGTCAGTACCAGAAACTGTTGAAGACCAAACACTTAAAGCATCTGAAGCAGCTGATGGTGTCGAGCGGACAGCCGAGCCAGGTGAAGGACCTGCTGGACTGCCTGACCAGCCAGAACTGGTACATTTTAAGTCTCTGTTTGTCCTCATTTCTGATCCAAATGAGTCCAACAACAACCAAATGCTGATATATTATCTACAGATATGGGTGTGTTTGTTGTGGGGGTCTGGAAAATGGTCACTCACAAAAAAAGAATCCTGACTATTGAGAAGCTCTAAGATGTTTTTACATGAAAAACAATCAAAATATCTGTAAAACGACAAAACTAAGAATGTATTTTCTCCTTCGGGGCGAGTAGACAAATTCTTCTTCTGTTTTTTACATCTGAGATTCTGAATGTTCTACAGGATTGCAATACTACATGGTACAAGTGTTTGTCTACCGCTGTTAGTCAAAACTGCCACCCTTAAAAAAATCTGCTCAAAGGTTGTAGGTCAACCTTTTGATAGACTGGTCACCTGCTCCAAAGGTCAAAGGGGACCGTGCCGTTTCTCAATGTCGAGTAAACCTGCTGCAGAGACACTATTCAAGTATATTACGTCATCGAGTAGCGCCGAAGGACTGTTTAAATGCATGTTAAATGCCCAGCATTCGGCGCCACTCGATGACGTAGTATACTTGAAATAGTGTCTCTGTAGCAGCTTTACTCGACATTGAGAAACGGCCAGTGGATCGCTCTGCCTCTCCGCATTAAAAGTCAAAGTCAACTTTATTGTCAATCTTTCAGTTTGTGTTTACAGACAGAGAAATCGAAATGCCGTTTCCCACAATCCCGAATACAAAAATATGTATATTAGACAGGCTTCTACACTGTCTGTTTTTTAAATCACGTCATAAAACGATCCTCGCACATATACTGCTGTATATATTGTATTTAAGCTCAGTGTATTTATTCTTATTTATACATTTTACATCTATTTACCTTTACTTGCATCATTTATTTTGTACAGACTGCTGATAGATGTGTATATAACTGACTGTTTGCACTCTGGAAAGGCCCTCTTGCATTATATAATGACAATAAATTAATCTAATCTAAAACCCACTTCTTCTCCTTAGCATTCTGCACTTTGTAGATTGTTGCTTAATGGTATATTGTTCTTACTTTATGGCTGTTTCTTATTCTTGTTTATTTTGTGTTTTTACCTTTTTTTTGTTTCGTGAGCTGTGCTGTGTGATTTTATGTTTCTCTGTACATTACTTTGGTCTGGAGGTTTTAAAGTGCTTTATAAATAAAGTTTGATTGCAGAGTGAGTTCTTAACTTCTTATTGTGCTCCTCAGTCAGGACGATGCTGACTCGCTCGCTCGGGAGTTCATGAAACACCGAGAGAATCAACGGGGAAAAGCCCTGACCAACGGCTCACCTTCACCGAGCTGCATAAACGTAAGCGTATATACCATTAAGTCTGGGATACAGCATTCATACTAGTTCATATTGTGAATTCATTTGAGTATCTGTTATAGAAACATGACTTTTTAATTTCAACTTTTGCTTTTTTAGGAGTTTCTCAACATGCAGAATGGAGTTTCAGGATGAGCTGACGCTGTTTCAGCAGATGTATTTATGTATTCTTCCACTTAGTTTCTCTTGGGCTAAGATGCAATATTTGCACTTATTAACCATCTTTCAACTGTTCATGAATTTGAATAAATGGTTTTCATTATTGATTGTGGAGAGGAGTTCATCAGTATGAAAGGCTCTTAATCTTTCTTTATTGTATTACCTCCCGGCTTCTTTGTCATATGTATATTGTTATAACTGCTTACAGTAGTAGAAGAAACACTTTTGTGGCTACAAGTTGCCTTTCAAGAAAACTCACTAACATGAAGAATTAGAATAAAATAACGTCAATGTATACTTAAAACTAAAAGCAGCCGGATTGTTGTTGCCTATTTAGACTGTATTTTAAAGGTTTTGGACAATGTTCTCTGTTTTGTAATAAAATATTCTGTAAATTTGTTAACTTTGTATTTATAAACTCCCAATTTTCTAATCTTCTGGGAAAAAATGTCATCATGTTTGAGGAGCAGTTTTTTTTCCTTCATTTCTAACGGAAGAGTTCCCTTTCCTCAGTCATACCGGTACTTGCTTGATGTTTCTGAAAGGAAGCAGCTCTGAGGCGCCTGAACCCGACAGAACGTGACCGCCGACTCTCTTTTCACACTTCTGTGTTTCATCTCTGCTTCCACACATCCTGTTAAACACTCCTGCACGCTTAGATCTTGATCTCTTCCCCTTTGCTCTTACATAAGCAAAACTAAACAATGAAACGCAGCTTTTCGTTACATTAGTTTCTAATTGTACTGCATGCCTACTGTACCAATTATTTTACATTGAGAGACCTTTGAGGAGGAACCCTCATTAACAATGGAGAAGCATTAAGAGGTTTACATACTACAAAAATAAACGTATTTTCGAGTCGATGGTAAAATAGTAGAGACACATTGAATTTAATAAACCATCTTAAAGTAAAGTTGCACATCACTTTCTGTACCATCACACTTTACGCAAGTTTCATCAAGTCCTACCACTGCACTCATACCGTTTTAGTTCACCAATACCACATTTTTGTGTGACTCTTCATGCCTACGAGTGGGCCCCAGGTGAAACTAAAACACTTTGGGTAACTGTTCAGTGAGGGCATACAGACAAAAGGGTTTTTGGAGTTGTGTCTGAACCATACAGTCTATGGTCTGAACCAGTGACTAAGAGGAGAAGATGCTTCCTCTTTGTTCATAGAGGAAGAAAGAAAAGCCTTTGAATTGTAGACTGATAGAGATACAGTGAGGTCTAACCACTGCTCAGGTTCTTCATCTGAATTTTAAAAGCAATAATTGCTGCCTGGGAAGCTAAGTAATGTATTTTCATTTTGTGTTGGTTTTAAATGACACCATTTTATATTAAAGCCCAATAAAGTCCATGTTTGGTTGACATTGGAAATTGGTATGGACCGTACGTGTCTCCTGAAAAAAAAATGTTTGCATTGTGAGGCCTGGGATTTATAGTATTGACATAATCAATAAAGAATACAGAGATCAGAAGTAACTAAGTACATTTATTCAAGTACTGTACTTAAGTACAATGTTGAGATACTTTTACTTTACTTGAGTATTTCCAGTTTATCCTACTTTATACTTTTACTCCACTACAATTAGTTTGAACTTTCAGTTACTTTGCAGATTTGGATTAATGTTGTGAAATATAATCAACTCTTAAATAACACTTTAGTTACACCTGGAATAAATTCACAATCTACCCTGCGGTGTAAAAAGTCATTAAAACTAGCTGCAGCTTTAATAAACACATTAATACAACAATAATTATAATCAAAACATAATATATATTATTCTGAGCTGGGCCGATCTGCAAAATGAGTACTTTTACTTTTGGTTCTTTATATTTTGATGCTAACACTTCTGTTCTTTTACTTGAGTAACATTTTGAATGCAGGACTTTTACTTGTAACAGAGTATTTCTACACTCTGGTACTTTTACTGAAGTACAAGATCTCAGTACTTCTTCCACATCTGAGGATACATCATATAAAAATACTATTATTGCATCACAGGTTTTGTGTTTTTTTAAGTCATACCAACTTCCCTTTATTATATTTATCATAAAGGAGGAAATGTAATTCAGATTATGTCTTCACGCGGTTTGTAGGCTGAGTGGAACCGAATCGACAAATTGGGTTTAACGGATGCTAAATGTATTATGATTCAAGATTCAAAGTCATATCAAATACACAACTACGGTGTAATGTATGAAAGACTCAGATACCTTTTAAGAGTGTTGGTGGTCTATTAGTTGTTTCTTACATCACATGTTACTTGATAGACGCTTTTATCCAAAGCGACTTACTCAATACTGTGGGCAATCCCCACAGGAGCAATTTGGGGTGAAGTGTCTCCCCAAGGGACACAACGACATGCTGACTGCAGTGGGGTTTGAACCTGTGACCCCTTGATCCGAAAACCAACGCTCTGTCCATTGCGCCACCCGCCTCCTCTTACTGTTAATGTCCAACAGAAATAGGATTTCAATGTTGTTTTTTTTCATCCTGTATTAGTTTGAGGTTAATGCATGTAAGGAAATATATTGTTTACTTTGCATGGGGGTGGGGAAAAAAAACCTTGATGATCGCACGCTCTGTGGAGGAGGTGTTTGTGGTTAAAAGTGTCTAATAAGTTGTTGTGGCACAATATCTATCAGCAATTCTGAGAACTTTAAAGCGTGAAACGGGTTCTCGGGTGCTAGAGATAAGCTGCAGAAGTTGCAGTCATTCAGGAAACAGTTTCTTATCTGTGTAAATAAAGTTACAAACAATGACTTTTCCCGAAGGATTTCTCTTTTTATAACCAACCAAGTGAACTTCTTCTACCATAAACTGTTTTAATTAACCACAAAGCACTTCTCAGTATTACTACAGTAGTTTGTATTTAGTATTACTAGATTGTATTGTTGAATAAAATATAATATAGTTGGATAAAATATAATATATATCAATGATTTCACAGCATGTGTTTAGCAAAATGACTACAAATGTGCCATCAATATATCAAAAAGTAAACCATCACAACTTTACAAAATGACAATAGCATATGTGTGCAAGACAATAATATTTTTTTAAGCGCAGTCACATACTGGATAACTGCTGTATAAGAAAGGTAAGTTAAAGACATCTGGTTGGCTGCAGAACTCACATGAAAACTTTAAAAAGATCTCAACACTTTTGGTCAAACTTTAAGCTGCATCCATCTCAATGCTTCCTGGATGTTGTGATCACAGCTGGCTAATCGACTGGGAGCCTGTCTCTCGAGTTTTCTTCTCTGAACTCTCAGGGTTGTCTTCTTGGGACAGATGCAGAGCTTTCCTGCAGATGTTCTTGAAGGTAGGGCTGGAGAAGTAGTAAACCACAGGGTCCAACACGCTGTTGAGATACGTCAGGCTGATGCTGAGGTAAAACACGGTGGTCAGGTTATCCATCGCCTGGCAGACTTCGGGTCCGGAGAGGTTTCCGGCTAACTGCTGGGTCTTGATCCAAATGATCAGCTGCGTGATGTTGCTAGGGAGGAAGCAAACGATGAAGATCACCGCCACGACTGTGATGAAGCAAAGAGCCTTCTTAATCTTTCGTTGCTG